ATAAGATAACTGAAGATGAGAAAAAAAATGAAGTGAGTGAAAAAGCAAAAATACTGAAAACTAAAACTAGAACTATGATAAATGTAGAGGTTGAACTAGTTCCCCTATTGGAAATATAGCTCCGGCTTTTCGACACAGATGGTGAGGGCACATGTAGTATGAAGAAGTCGGAAACACACTACTTTCTGTAGATTTTTATATGCTTTGTAAATCACTCTGAATGATGTGCCAGTAGAGAGATGCTGTGATTAATGCTGACGAGGTGTTCAATTATAGTGCTACTCATTGAACCAGTGCCCACCTCTTTGCAACCGTGCTTGATAGTGTTTTCCAACAAGGTTGGAAAAGATATGCATAGAACGACGTGTGCACCCCTAGCTCCAAAGAAACAGGTGATTTGATATATGCACATAGGAGTGGTAATATCCGGCATTGTACAAAATCAGTTCACCTACTCCTGTACAGCTAGGCGTATATGTCGCCCATATGACATCTGAAATCTGTGGTTGAAGACACTAGAAGACAAAGTTTGATCGAATCCCACTGGTGTCGATGAGTTCATGTCTCATCTCTTCATTTTAATCGTACATTTCTACTGCTTATCTTCAAGGACTCAACGACTTGTCGTTACGTGATCATTACCTTTTCCCTTAGTCTCTATTTCTTGCACCTGATGTAAAGATTTGAGATTTGTCAACAGGAGCAAAACTCACCAGTGAATAATTCAAAGTTATCCAGTCAATATACTTCTTCAAATCATATATATGCATATTTTTCTCCTGTCATTTATCTTTGTGAAACTCTTTAACAGTGAGGGGGAGGTAGTGATATATCACTTGTCACTCATTGTATTTTTCAAAAATTGTTTTTTATCAAAAATAGAAGGATATTTGTTTCATACATCGAATAATAATTGATGTGATTAGGAGACTGTGCATTGAAATACAGCTGGGCTAATCAATTATCCTCCACCTACTGAAATATGTATAACTACTAATGTGTTGATTTAATAAGAGTTCAGTTTGTGTCAGTATTATTACTACTATTATTAAGTGAAGTTTGGTCACGGATTGATATCAGTTAGAGAGAACCATTGAAATTACGTGAGTACTAGACAACTGTTTCCTCCTACTATGTGACTACTGCTCACCAGTATGCACTCATTACTTCATCACAGAGAGAATCCAGGACCTTCCAACGAGTGTAATATAGTCGTTTTGCTCTAGTTCGTGACCCTAAACCAGTACAGTACACAACCATTACACCACCGGCAGAGATCGATTCCGAGACTTTCCAGTTACAAGGTGAGCTCGTTCGCCATTCGCCCACTGGGATGAAATCGAATGACTCACGAATCATAATTTCTGACAATCTGTGGTATATAACGTGACTTCCAGGTAATATTATTGGTATCTGTCCTCACAGGGAACTTTGTGGGTCCCGCTAGTTACGATTTACCTCTAGAACGTTAGGGAACGTCATCCTGTGGTCAATCACTAGTGAGCACTAAATCAATTTTCATGTATTGGTTTGTTTGTAGGGATTTGATTTGTTTCAGTTTTCATTGTGGATTGATATCAGTCAGAAAAACATTATAAACCAGAGAGGGATTGTTAGATGGCTGTGTCATCCAAGTGTGTGAGACTCTTCAGTATCACTTGCCAATTAGTCCACCAGCGTGGGAACAAATACTCCTTAGTGATGTTAGCCGGTGGTAGCACTAAAAGTCGCTAATTTAATGGGCCAGTAGATTCCTCCCCGGTAGCTCAATGGTGAACCACTTTCAGTCTATATATATAACCGGAAGGTCCTGAGTACATATATATTTCTGAAGATTCCCAATTCAGGAAAGAAACAACTGTCCAGTGCTCTTTGGCTTTCCCGGTTCTTTAACTGATATCACTTAGTGATCTAACCAATCAGGTGCCTACAGACTAATTATTTTAATCGTTAATAATGGTATTATTATTATTATTAGTAGTAGTGTTATTAACATGCTTATTTATTATCAGGAATTCGATTGTTCTTATCAGATCCAGTGATATTGTGCAATGTTATTTATTGTTTATCTGATGCGATTATGATGCCATAGTTGTGCAGATATAATTTTGTTGGTTTGTCTATTTGGCATAATATATATGCATACTACACATAAATGGTAGTCATCTAAGTAAAATGATGATAACAGCAGTAGCTGTAAATAAAAATTTTATTGTTGATCCACACATCAAAAATTACTATGACAATATATTGGTGCCATATGCATGTGAAAAGTTAAATTATTCCATTAAGGTTATTTGTTATAATTTTTTAAAAGATATTTGTGTAATACTGAGAAAACACTTCAGAATTTAAAGACAATTCAAAATTTCGCAAATTCAAAATATTGATCATAATAATAATAATAATAATAATAATAATAATAATAATAATGGTAGTAATAATAGTGTATTCTGTTCATGTTACATTTGTTAATAATAGTTATTTGCATGTTATTTAGACGCATTAATACCCAATAGTGTTAGGTAGTGTGAGTAGCAATGAGCTGTTAAAAGTAATTCCTTTTCTATTAAACAATTGTAATGATGATAGTGACTAACTATGGAATTCAAGAGGCTCATTTCATCGTATTTGGGACTTATCACGGATAGATGTATCTGTATTCTCAGTGAGTGATATTGTTCCCATTGAGACTCGAACCGTGCACCTATCGTGGCTTAGTAGCCAGGATAACACTTTTGCGTCTGAAACGATAGGTGAACTGTTCGAGTCTCAATGGGAACATTATCACTCATTGAGATTCATTGCGCTCTATCTCCCTTGTGAAGTGGTATAATAAGGTGAGCAATATTGAGGTTAGGTTTCGGTCGAGTGCTAGGTAAGAAGGGGAAATCAATTGACGAGGTTGTGAAGCTACATTGACTGATATGGTTAGGACATGTGTTACGTATGCCTAGTCATCGCCTTCCTTGGCGGGTAATGTTAGCTGGCATACGGTCAGGCTGGAAAAGAGGTAGCGGTGGTCAAACCAAAACATGGCCGCATCGGTCAATGAAATCCTCAACAGTTAGTTTTAGCCAGCCTCGTAGGAAGGTGTAGACTTCCTGACTGGTTGGGGTCCTCGAGACGAAAAACACTAGTCGTTGGAAACAATTGGTGATATGGCTCAAAATCGTCCTCAGTGGCTATCGCAGATGCATCCACTCCTTGTGACTTATGATTTCCAATGAAACTATATTGTTCTTCGTTATTACTATTCCTTTGTCTCACACCTGCGTTTACTGTGTCTATTATGAATTTCTTCTGCTTTCTTCTCTTGATTTGTGTGCTACATGGGTGGGGGAGTGTGGAGAATTGAACTGGTGCACATATGTGCAAAGTTCTATGTCGAAAACAGACAGACAGATTGAGATTCATGTAACTTCTAGCTGATGAGTCCCAAATGGGATGAAACAAGTATCCTGAATTCTTTTTCTTCTTCTTCTTCGTTGACTTCTGTCTTTTTAATTCATACATTTTTTTACATGAGTCTATAATCAATTCGGCATTTCGTAGATAAGGAGCACTAGATATCTCCGGTTCATGATAAAAGTAGTCTTCAAAGCAGTCAAGCTAACCGAAGTTTGGTCTACTGGTGTTTATTATCAACTGGTTGCTCATTAGAAGTTTTAGTAAGAGGTTTTAATTAGTATGGTCAGTCTTACAGACAATGAGAAAAACTACTTCCCAGTGGTTATATGTATGGAAAAGTACTAGCCATAGACTCAATAGTGCGTCGTTGGCACAGCGGTTAGGACTCTCGCCAACCATGCACATGGTCCGGGGTTCGATCCCCCGGCCGATGCACTCTACCTCACTAACCCAATAATAAGACTGGTAAAGAGGGAAGGTTGGGCATAAGGCTAGCAACCTCATCCCGTAAAAATAAACACTGCTACAGAAACTTCAAGCATCTAGCTTGAAACCCTATGTTCCACTGGGAACGTTAAGGAATTAAAAAAAATTGGCTCAATAACTGAAGATTCTGTAGACAAATCAACCGGACACTTATATTCTTACGTAATTTTGCCTATGTATTACATCAAACAAAAGAAGGTATACTCGCTTTGGATCGATAGAAAATTCATATCCTGTAATTGGTGGTATTTTCATTTCTTGTATTCTCTTTTTAAGTTGTATAGCATAATGATATTTTAATTTTTAACATATAACAACCCGGAAAAGTATATTTCTTAAAAAGAAAACAGTTTTATTAATTGTCTCCGATTGAATATGAATGCAAAGAACATTTTCTCTTATTGTTGACTAGCTTTCAACACATATCATAGAATTAATTTCTGTGTCGTGTTAAAGTTGTGTGGTACATACAATAGAAAATTAAAATGTCTTGCCGTATTATTGACTTTATCACCCTTGAAAAGTATTCATTGCGTTTCCTTTAACTTATGTGTACTCCACACACACACACACACACACCCCTCCCACCTTCCCAAATGAACAAATAAATCTCAGTTGTCTGTTTGTTTTCTTTTAGAATTGTCTATAAAGTAAAGGCAATCCTTTTTTCTTTGTAGCGTTGCATATTTTGTTTTCTCCTTTATAACATAATCTATTTCTTTAAAGGAAAATACAGTTCAATTTTGGGGGGTTTCATTATGTTCTTTGAGTTGAATTGTACGATTTTTCAAAGCTTTCACTATCTCCTTTTGACAACATCTGAAGCTTTAACTTCAGAATATGATGAATTTTGGAATTCTCTATGAATGCGAAGGAAACTGTCTTTCCTGATGACGCTGACACTTTGATTAGGTTCATTTTTGAATATGTCGTCTTTGAAGGATAATGGAAACTTCACGACTAAAATCATTCAACAGAGAGGACGTAAAAACACTAAAATGGCATTCATCTGAGCTACAAATCTTTCCCATTATTTTTAGTATTTTGATGAACGTTGACTAACAACAGCAGAATTCAGAGTGTCCTTTTCTTTCTATTTTCAGCATTTGGGACACATTACAGCCACATGAACCTCAGTTCCACGTGACTGAACTCGAACTGTGTACCTATCATTTCATACCCCTAAGTGTCATCGGTTAGACCACTCGGGGTACAGAAGCTACCTTTTATGCGATTGGTATTAGTTATCGCTTTTATTATTTTCCATTAGACTGTCATTTTTCCTCTGCATTTCTCTTTGTTATATTAGACCATTTCATTTATTGATTATATTGTCCTCGAATGGGCTGTTACTCATTTTAAATTGTGATGTTTTACTTCTGAACAAGTAGGTGATCAACTTCATTATGTCTAGGAATACACTGTCGACCTACATTTATCATCTTCATATCATTTTGAATGAAAGGGACCAAATTTTGCTGTTTAACCCTATAAGAAATTAGAAACAGTTTGCCAAAGGGAAACGTAGGGATTGGTTATTTCAAGATTATAACATTTTTTATATATTCCTTGGTTGTTGGTCACCAGCGGTGGAATCAGCTGAGTGTTTCTGACCCCGCCCCTCCTACTGTGTAATGGTTTTCCCACTTATACTCGAATTGAGAGCTGATATGTTAATTAACCATGCCATGGAATCATAGTTTCTGGAATAGTAGAATGCAAGTAGGTTTCAGATGAAAATGTTCTGAACAGTCAGTCTTTTGAATACCCTGAATGGGTGGCTTTCGAGATTACTGTCATCTAAGTACAGATTTTTGCTTCAGCATTGATCTGCACTGATACTTCATGTAATGATTAAGGAGTCAGGTGACCAAAAATCGATAGTGAATTCATCTGCTTATGAGTCACAATAAGTCACGTTATTATGTGCTTGATAAAATTTGGTTTTGATGTAAAAAGAAGCCTTTTTAGGTTTTTCTTAATCTTAATTAAATGTCCGTCAATTTTAAATGTGTGCGTTGATGGTTCAACAGTAGAACACTCGCCAATCATGCCTCGGTTGACGCACTCCTAAACCTCGCTAAGCCTATAGAGTAATGCTAGTAAAGAGGGAAGGTTGGGCGTGAGGTTAGTGACCCCACCTCACAAAAATAAAACCGATGCTACAAAAACTCCAAATCTCTAGCTTGAAGCCCTGGGAACGTAAATGAATAAAAAATAAAACAAGTTTTAAACATTATATCATTTTTCATTCCTTTTGCGTTCTGGATTCAACTTAGGGCTTTAAGTATTGAAGTTTCAGCAGGCGTTGAGACATTGATTCCATGGTGTGGGGTTTCTAGCCTCAAGGCTGACCTCATCTCTTCTCCAGGCTTACTACTGGTTAACATGCTAGGCTGGGAAATTGAACAATGGGCCACTTGCGGACTGGCTGGCTGGCGAGAAGTTTGGAAATTCCATGTTGTACATGCCATCATTTCAGTTGGTATATCATCCTTCGTTTCGTTCGCTTTCCTACTATGTTTTAGAATTGTAGGCATTATTTTCGGAAAAGTGTTTTGTCTTTGAGATCAGTCTTGAAACCTACTGCGCTAAGCATAAAAATCAAGATTCAGACTTTCGACACTAGTGTTGAGTCAGTTCTTCAATATAGGTCAGATATTTGAATTGTCACTAAAGGCATTTCGAACAGGCTTCAAACTCTTTTTGAATAGCTGCCTTCATTTGATACTGAATTACAGATGATGGCCAGAAAGGATTAGAATCAAGGAACTCTGCAGTGCAGTGAATCAACTAAGAACCTATCGCACGACAAATATGACGAAGGAAATGTAGATAGATAGATCGGATATATGTTGATTGGCATCTCGCGCCAGGCACTTGGAGTGGAGCCCTAAGGGTGGGTAAACGACGAGTTAGGCTTAGTTCGAGGGTGACATGGAAAAGATCATGTGATGAGGAGGTGAAAAATTATTCTCAATCGTGGATCCAGTTAAAGACGACTACAGAGAGGAGAATGAAGTGGAGATATGTTGTTTAAATTGTATATTCTCCTCGGAATCCAAGGAAATAATAATAGGGTATTGCCACTTGCATAGATATGTGCCAGGGCCTGTATTTTGATTAAGTAATATCTAGCTGGTCCTATCAGGTATATGATGGCGAATTCTTGATGTGAATTTGCTTGTTGGTTAGTTGTACTTAGAATAAGTTTTACGCTTACTGCATAGTGTCTGAGGTTTCGTTTGAAAATGAAAAATGTTCATGTCACAGGGGCCGTTTCAGTCGAGCTGGGCAGAATAACTCATATTTTAACTCACAGAAAAAAAAGGTATTTTAATGAGACTATTCAGTACCGACAAATATAATGTCTTGATCTAGGGTTTCTTGCCAGTTTTCTCCTACAGACCACAATGTAGTTCAATATATACCGTGAATACTGCCTACATGGTTAGCATGTTCACAACGTTTTATATACTCCTGATTAATATGAGTTGTTAGAAACCATCTAATTCACACCAGCAAATGACGCCGTGTTAATTTGACAAGTACAAATTATCGATGAGTATTAGAGGCGGAGACTTGTCATTATCCACCTTTGGCAGTTGATTTGAACCACCTATATAGGAGGGTGTAGATTGCTTGGTTCGAGTCCTTGAGATGATAAAAACCAATAACTAGAGACTATTGGCGATATAGCTCGAAATCATTCTCGATGTCTCAGATGCATTCACTCTTTTTGATCTCCCATATGCCTTAGACCTACACATGCGTTTTCATGTTACTATTCTTTCTTCGATACAGGTTTTTTTTAAATTTCATTTTGCTCTCCCTTTGTGTGGTACATTATTGTTATTTCCTTTAATTCCTAGAGGAACATAGGGCTTCAACTGCACGTCTCCATTGCGTTCGGTTCTCTGCTAAAGTTTTTACCTGGCTCCACGTCTGCCCACATGCTTTCATGTCCTCTTCACATGACCTCCCCCGAGTCACCCTTGTACTGACGACCAACTCACCGCTTCCCTTTCGGGTTCCACTCGAGCGATGGCTTGTCTAGTGATGTCACTTGATGGTTTCCTCAGATTATGGCCAATCCACCCAACTCCATTTTTTCCTGGTTATTTGTCGCACAATCGGTTCCTGGTTGGTTCACTTATTGCCAGAGATCCCTGTTGCTGATCTTTTCTGACTGGCCATCTGATCTTGAGTATTGAGCGAAGACAACTGTTAATGAAGGTCTGAAGTTTGTTTGAGATGCTCTTTATGACGCGCAGTGCAAGTCTCTGATCCGTACAGTCATTAGCACTGACTTCATATTGGAGTGTAAAATCCGGATCTTATTTTTGATGCTGAGTGCTGTTGACTGACCTCCACACAGACTTGCAAGCATGAAAAATAAGATCCGGATTTGAGGCTAGCAGCCCCACCCTGTAAACAAAGTTGCTACAGAAACTTCAGCAAGATGAATCTCCTTGCGCCAAAAGAAAGAGTCTTTGTGTGGTACATGGAATATGCCAAGCTGAACGGTTGCACCTCAGTACAAAGTTCTATGTTAAAATTGATTCAATTAGTAATATCCGTTATTCCTTTATGTCCCCAGTGGAACATAGGGCTTCAAGCTTTACCTTTTAAGTTTCACTAGCGGTAGTGCTATTTTTTTCACGGGTTGGCTTGTCTAGCCTCACATCCAACCTTTCCTCTTTACTTGGCCTCCTACTGGCTGGTCTAGTTTTAGGAGTGCGTCAGTCGGGGATCGAACCCCAGACCACATGAGGCATGGTGGTTGGCGAGCATTCTTACCAGTGGACCATTGACGCAACATGTAATGTATTAAACTATTCACTGCCTTTCTACTTATTTATTTAGCTATTAATTGTTTTAATTTCCAAAATAATTTATTGGCGGCAATTCAATTCTCTCAGTATTTTGCATAATTATTGTGAATTAGTATGTATGTGAATGAATGAATGAAGTTAAGAAAATTCATTAGATTACTAAGCAAGCATTTTTGTCGCGCATACCTTTTTTTATCTGTCACTATATTACAATTGATTACAGGTGAATTAATGACCTCAGTGGTGTGTGTATACATATATGTAAATCCTTCCACTTTTTAATGAATTATGCTTGTTGAATATATGTAAGAAAAGCCAAAAGGCAAATACTCATTGTTATTGGTTACATGTACACAGTGGGATAAAGAATAAAGAACCAATAGAAAGTCCGTTTGTGTTGTATATATTAAGAAAGAAAAAACAACAACAAATTAAGTAACTAATTCATGTGGATTTAAATGAAAAGAAAAATATTTTATGAGTTAATATCATGCATGGATCTCTTTTTTTCTTCTAAGAAGGATTTCTGTTATAGGTCTAATTTATTGATTTCTATGCCCTAAGTAGTGGTTGCAAATTTGACTCAAGTTGTGCATATGCTGTTTTGTTGACTTAGGACGTCTATTTAGTATTATGTATTCTTTAAAAAGACAATTTTGTTTTCACTGAGTGTGTAAGAATGAATTCTTAAAAAAAGACGTCTTGATGTGGTTGTATTCTCTCAGCTGGTTGGTGGTTTATTTGTGAAGCTTTTATTGCCTTCTTCAGCGCATACCTCAACATGAAGTGAACTTATTTATATTCCCCATGAATGATATATTTGTCTCTTCTGGCAACCTTTGTTTTGATTAGTTGTTAATTTGCATTAGTATTGATCATTTTATTGTGACTTGGATTGTAACTTTTTCCTGTCAATTGCTTCATTCTATATCAGTTGATAAATGCAGTCTATGGTAGTGTGTCTGTTGATCGCGGATTTATCTGAGTACCAGGTTTTTAGAGATTTTCTGGAATTTCAGGAGTTTCCACTGTTTAGAATTTCTACGTTTCCCTAATGAAATTGGTGTCCTTAGTTGTCCACATGCTTCAGTGTGAAAGTACATTTTTTCTTGGACTCGGAATTGAAGAGGATAATCCCCTAGCATGGTGGCTATATTGCAAACTTGACTGATAGAATTTAGTCTATACCAAACAAAGGACTAGACTCATGACACTAGTTAATTACTACCTGGTGTCCAGCTGTAGTATCCAACACAGTCCTACAGGAGGGTCAATCATGATCCCGAATAGCTCAATGGTAAAGCTTGTGACAGTTTGGCAGCACTGGGTGCCATGGGTTCGAATCTCGAAAGGGATATTTAGTCCCTTCTAGACTACTAACAGACACAAAATCTAGGTCGAGCAAGGCTTCCTTCCTATTACCTCCAACCATCTAATAACTGCTACAGTGTTTAACACAGTTTATACAACTTATTTTATAGATAGTGTTGATCTTGTCTTCTTTTACTTTTGGGTCTTTTGGTCTGCATAGTTTTGAATATAATCATTTA